ATCAAATATAACTTGTTTATAAACACTTTCAAAGACAGCTTTACAGGATTTAAATGTAATATTTTGTAATATAAATGATACTTTTATCATCACATAATTGTTGGACAGAAACCTGCTGGAGGTGGGTTCATGTGGGTTTTTTTACCACCTTGTTGTCTTGCAGGCGTCCTCTCCAGTGGTCTGCAGGGAGTCYCTGCATGTGGTGGACATTCGTCGTTACAGCAGAGACCTGGCGTCCTCCGTCTTCTTCCCTCAGGCCGTCTTCAGTGGTGAGACATGCAGACTACACCTGTCCTCTGTGGACAGGACGGGCTCAGACGTGTCCTCTGTCCTCCAGGTGATGACCTGTATGACGTSACGCTGACGGACAGACACTGCCGCCTTCAGGTGACCCTGGACCCGGGTCTGAACCGGCTGGTGGAGAGGCGTGTCCTGAAGCCGGGGGCGGCCATCTGCGGCGCTGCCTTTAGCCCCGCCCTGAGCGCCCAGCCCCCAGAATGCCCTGGGGCCAGAGACAGGTGAGTGCAGACAGGTGAGCTGTGGTGTGATGTCATCAGACAGGTGAATGTGGCTCCTCCCCCCTGCAGCTACAGGCTGGTGAGCGTTCAGCTCAGAGACACAGGTCCTGATGACGAGGACGATGAAGAGGTTGGGAGGTCRGACTGGGACTCTCTGCCCTGGTTTGGATCAGAACCGACAGGTGACATCACCTGTTTACCACCTGTAGAACCATCAGACCAGTGTGTGAATCTGTGATCTGATTGGTCCAACAGGTCCTCTGGTTCCTCTCAGAGCCAAACACTGCATGTTCCTTCCTCTGTGGAACAACGTGGACCACAGCGGCGAGGTGTGGAGGGAAGCCCCGCCCACTGACGACAGCGAGGAGGAGCAGGAGGAAGGTTTGATTCCACACTCCCTCTGCAGCCAATCACAGCACAGCTCCTACAGGAAGTAGTGAAGCTGTCACGTGACTGTGCGTTTTCAGGGCGACGCCCGGGGGTGACGGTGTCTRAGCTGCGGGACTTCTTCCTGTCGGGTCGGCACAGCGCCGTCCACCATCAGCTGATCGTACGCATCGTCAACAAGTCTCACCTGATGTATTACGGGAGGCCGGACAGGAACTGTGAATGCCCGTATAAGGTCAGTGGCTCAGGCAGGCACGAACTGAACCTGGGAATCAAAACGCCATTGTAACATATTTATGGGGGCTCGTCCGGGATCCCATAAATATGTTATGGCCCATTAAAAAACAAGGGTCAGTGATGGATCAGTCAGCAGCAGCATCTGATCAATATGTGATCCATGATGTAAATGCAACATTTTCTACATATAGGTCAAATT